ACGGCTTTCAGCGTGTCCCAGAGGTTTTGTTGTGTTGTATTGTCCTTTTCATTTAATTTCAGGAATACTTTCTTTCTTTCTTTCTTAATTTCTCTTTTGACCCATTCATCATTCAGGAGTGTGTTGTTTAATGTCCATGTGTTCATGTGGTGATTAGGGCTTCTTTGTGTGTTGATTGTAAGCTTTATTGCATTGTGGTCTGATAGAATGCATGGAATTATTTCAATCTTTTTGTATTTGTTGAGGTTTTTTTTGTGTTCCAGTGTATGGTTGATTTTGGAGAAGGGTCCATGGGGTGATGAGTAGAAAGTATGTCCTTTGGTGCTTGGGTGGAATACTTGGTAGATGTCTGTTAGGTCCATTTGATACATGGTATTGTTTAATTCAGATATCTCTCTGTTAACTCTTTGCCCTTTTGATCTATCTCATTAGACAGTGGGGTATTGAAGTCCCCTACTATTAATGAGTTGGGATTAATCTGGGTCTTAAAGTCCTGTAGTATTGTTTTGATGAAGTTGGGTGCACCAGAGTTTGGTGAATATATGTTCATGATTGTAATATCTTCTTGATTTATTGTTCCTTTGATCAGATTTAAGTGGCCCTCTTTATCTCTTCTGCTTAGTTTTAGTTTAAAGTCTGTTTTGTCAGATATTAGAATTGCTCTACCTGCTTTTTTCTTAGTACCATTTGCTTGGTATATTTTTTTACATCCTTTCACTTTAGTATAGTGTCTGTCCTTGAAAGTGAGATGGGTTTCTTGCAGACAACAAAAAGATGGGTTTTTTTTCTTAACCCATTCACCTAGTCTATGTCTTTTTACTGAGGAGTTCAGCCTGTTAGTATTTATGAAATATTAATTAATATTAATAATATTAATGAAAGATGTATATTGAATCCTGTCATTTTTATTTCTGTTTACATTCTTGATATAGCTGTACTTTTCCACAGTTATACCTTCATTGATTTCTTTTCGCAGCCCGTTGGGTATAGTCAATAATACTGAAGGTCTGGTTTTGTGGACATGAATTCCTTCAGCCTATTTATGTCATGGAAGATTTTCTTTCCCCTTTGAGTGTAATAGACATTTTGGCTTGGTGTAGTAGTCTGGGTTGGTATCTGTGGTCATTTAAAACTGTGAGTACTTTGTTACAGGCTCTTCTGGCTTTAGTAGTTTGCCCTGAAAAGTCAGCTGTAATCCTAATCAGTTTTCCTTTATATATGTCTTGTTGTTTCTCTTTTGCAGCTTTCAGTATTATCTCTTTGTTTTATGCGTTTAGTGTTTTTACTATGATGTGCCGTGGCGAGTTTCTTTTCTGGTCCTGTCTCTTTGGTCTTCTATGTGCTTCTTATATTTGTGTGGGCATGTCTTTCTTTAATTTTGGGAAACTTTCTGTTGGGAAATTTTCTGTTTGGGAATTTTCTGTTGAAGAGCTGGTCCATGCCATTATCTTGGGATTCTTCTCCTTCCTGTATTCCTATGGTTCATAAGTTTGGTCTTTTTATGGTGTCACACAATTCCTACATATTCCATTCTTGTGATTTCTTAAATTTTTCATAATCTTTGCTTGAGTGGTCTATTTCGTCCACTTTATCTTCCAGTCTTGATACTCTGTTTTCCATTTCATTCATCCTATTGGTGAGGCTTTCTCCTGTTGTTTCTAATTGGCTTACTGAGTGTTTCACTTCCTTCTTCAGTTTAGCCTGAGTATTCTTCAATATTTCTAACCCTTTTCTTATTTCATTCAGAAGTTTATCCCTATCTTCCTTCAGTTCTTTGATTCCTTTGTGTCTTCTTTAAATTCACTGAATTCTTTTATTGTGTTTATAATTGTTCTTTTGAGTTCCATTTCCTGCGTTAACTCTAGGGGGTTCTCATTGTACTCCTCTAGAGGACTATTGGTATTTGGTGGGGATATGTTATTTTGGTTTTTGATGTTATTATTCTTTCTCTGTGATTTTGACATGTGCATTTGTTTTGTAGTTTCTGATTCTTGTGTGAGACTCAAGGCTTCAAGTTTAGGTCTGCTGCTTTTTATGAACTTTATGTGTCTTTGTGGTTTACTTTTTGGGCATGAAAGGCTCGTTCTTCTAAGTCTCCAGTTCTCTCTTTTGATTTTTTTATTGGAGTGTCCAGATTGCTTTTGTCTTCAGGAATTCCCACAGAGGCCCAAGTCAGATGTGGATCAGATGCTATCAGGCTTTCTCCTATGGTCTGGATCCCTCCAGGACAGATTTTGAGTTCAGGAATTTGTGGGTTGGACTGGCCTAGGAGCTGGGCCCAGGAAAGACGCTGGTCTAGGGCAGCTGTTGGCTGTGCCACCCAGAGATGCAAAGGAAGATGGTGGCAGATTTTGGTTCCAAGGGCTCCTGGGTTCTGCACTGAGGAGCTGGGTTGGTCAGGATGCAAAGGACCAAGAAGAGAAAAGGTCAGCCTTGGCATCCAGGAAAGAGGCTGGGGGGTTGTTCAGACCCAGGGAAGCAGAGGGAAGTGAGGGTGGGGCCAGGCCCAGAGCGCCCCAGGTACCTGAGAAGGAACTGAGTTGCTACAGGATCTGGAAGCAGTGATGGTTCCTCAGGTGTCTCTTGTGCTAAGACAGGAATTGGACAGGACCCATGCTAGGAAGAGAGATTGGGGGAGAGGGAGATGGGAGGGTGACTGAGGGGTAATCAAGGCATGGAGGGCGTGATCGACTTAACTGGCAGAGAGAAGCCTGCAGGTCTGAGAGAGCCTAGGGAGAGAAGTTTAGTATGAGAAGGGTTACCTCAGATATTTTGTAACAGTAGTCCTTGGTTAGAGTGGGTAGTAATGAGTGGCCCAGCCTTTTACTGAGCACCTCAGTTCCGGGCAGATGTCCTTGCAGAAGTGCCTTTTATATGAGGTTGCAGTGGTTCTGTGCAGGTCTGTGGTTGTGACTGTCTTGTGATGGTTACCATCTGGTAGTTAGGGTAGGAACCCTTCTGTAATAACCTCTACCCTTATAGTTGAGTGTGTGTTGTACAAGGTATATCCTTATATCTTGGAAAATAGCAACAACAACAAATAACAAAACATGGTCATGTACTGTGTGACAGGATCTTTACATGAGCTGCATGTACTGGAGAATAAAGTACCTACTGCCTACCTCTGTGTTCTCAGTCAGCACTGATATGAATAGGATTCACCATGCTCTTTTTGGATTTAGTTTTGGTATATTTGGAGAAATTAAGGTTATATGTATAAAAATTTACAGTTTGGAAACACTGTTATGTAACACATACTTTCAGAAATAGTTGTGATCACTTGAACTAAGTCTTGAATCAAATACTCGACATCTCTAGCCTGGCCTTATATGTGGCTAGGACCCCCTGAAGGGGAGCGTGTCCGCAGAAGTGTCCTCGGCCGCTGCCTCTTCCCTTCTCTCTCGTCTCCTTTGCCAGTTCCCTCTTCTGGCATGAGTCTCCCTCCCACTCCTCCATTTCTTTGTCTCCCTTTCTCATTACTGCCTTCATTCTTTGTCTTTTCCTTTGTCTCTTTTTTCTTCTAGTTAATTTTAAAATTTCATGTTGTTTTATTTTGTCATTTTATGTCCTTTTATTTTGTTATTTTACATTTTGTTATACTATCTTTTTTAAGTGCATGAGTGTTTTGTCTATATGTATGTAAGTATACCATGTGCATGTAGTACCTGTAGAGACCAGAAGAGATTGTCAGATCCCCTGGAATTGGAGTTATGGTTTGTTGTTAGCTGCCATATAGGTGCTGGGAAAAGAACCCAGGTCCTCTTCAAGAGCAGCCAGAGGTTAAGAGCACTGGATGCTCCTGCAGAGGATCCTGGTTTGGCTCCCAGGACCCATATGACAGCTAACAACTTTTATCCCTAACTCCAGTTCCAGGGGTTCCAATACCCTCTCCTGTGGGCATTGCATGCACAGGTGCATCTGTGTCCGTGCTGGCAAAACACTCATACACATTAAAAAAAAAAAAATCACTTTAGGTGTTGTGGTATGGATTGTGAGCAAAGTTTATTTTCAAGGGCAGTGAGTCTCTGATGCAGGCATTAGCATCACAGTTCTCTAGACCCCAGACACAGTGGCTGAAGATGCTACTTTTCTAGATAGAATTTTTGAAGCAAAAACAGGCATATGCAAGTTATGCACAATCATTTACATTAGAAAAAGCATAATATGTTTTCAAATCAACAAGTTTTGCCACATGAATCATCTGTTTTTAATTCATAGGAAAATAATAAATTTTAAAGGCTTAGAGCATGGCACAAAATATCAAATTTTTAATTTACACTTATTTAAGTTTCAAAAATAGTATTTTTGAAAAGCTGTTCTTTAAATTTCTTTCCTGTGTTAAAGAAGAGCCTAGACTCTCAATTAAATGCATTTATTCAGATTTTTAGTTTTCTTTAAGTGAGATACTATTAGAATTTTGACAAAATATATAAAGTAGTTATAGTTAGCTTCTTTTAGAAACTGGTATTTTCTTCTTGGCTGTTTAAAATAATTTATATTATTAACATAAAATTATATTATAAATTGATTTAAGATAATTCCTATTATTATTAATTTCATATTACAAATTTAAAAGTAATGATTGGCTATTTTGATTTTCTTGTAGGTGCTCCTCAAACTGTATGAATTTTCCATGCATATCATTTACACTGGAAATATGTGTCCTTTAGCATTTTTAAAATAATAGAACAAAAGTTACATTGCCTTTAAATTATTTTCCTCTTTTTGTAAGAGAGAAAAATATGGTAACTGCTTACTTGTCAACATTTCATAACTATTTGATTGGCTATTTTGATTTTCTTGTAGGTGCTCCTCAAACTGTATGAATTTTCCATGCATATCATTTACACTGGAAATATGTGTCCTTTAGCATTTTTAAAATAATAGAACAAAAGTTACATTGCCTTTAAATTATTTTCCTCTTTTTGTAAGAGAGAAAAATATGGTAACTGCTTACTTGTCAACATTTCATAACTATTTCTTTTAACTGTTTCTTATAGGTGCACAGTTGGATAAGATGGGATTCACAGTTCTCAGAAAGTGCATCAGTGCTGTTGAAACACGAGGTACCAATCATGTTTCACTTGATAGTTTTATTCATGGAGGTCCATAGCTATGCAACATCTAAAAGTCATCTAAGACACACCTTGCCATGGTTAGGGGTTACTGCAATAAGTAACCCCTGTTAATACAAAACACTTTATTCTAGGTAACAGAATCAGTTATTCCTGTATTAGAACAATGTGGAATTTCTCTTTTTCTTCCATGTAAATGTGAGAGAACGTCACATATTTCTCTTTTTTAAAATGAGGTCACGATTAAAATGGAATTTCATTTGTTTGTTAGATCTGCCATCACCAAATATCACAGACCAGATGGCTTAAATGGAAATCTATTTTCTCACAGTTCTGGAGGCTGGAAGGCCAAGATCAAGGTGCCTTCTGTTTAGGCACCTTAAACCAAGATCAAGGTTTAGTGTCTGTTGAGGCCTGTGTCCTTGACTTGCAGACTCCGGAGTACCTTCGCACTGTGATCTTATGTCCTTACTTTTCTGTGTATATCATGTCCCTACTCTCTCTTTTGTGTATTTAGATTTTCTTTTGTCATAAGAAATGACCTCACTACTCCCTCAGAGGCCTGTTTTCAGAAAAAATGTTGTTCTAAGGTACTGGCATTTAGGACTTGGACATGTGAACTCTGTAGGGATGTAGTTCAGCTTATCAAAATCATTGGAAGAATAGGCAGCCAGTCACTTTGCCTTCAAGCACTTTAAAGATGGTCTCTTGGGGATCTCATTAAACATGATTTTTAAGGGATGGTGTTAAGCTCAGTGGTGGAGGCTAGCACATACAAAGCTCTATGTTGGAACCTTAGCAGATGCACATACATATACATATACATGTAAATAAATATATATCTTTATTGAGGTACAATTTGAGTATAGTAAAATTCACTGATCTTTTTTTAAAATTAATTTTTATCTATTATTTTTATTGTATATGTATGAGTGTATGTAGATAAGTGCACCCATGTCGTGCAGTGCCTGCGGAGGACAGAAGAGGATGTTGGATCCCCTGGAACTGGAGTTACAGGCAGTTGTTAGCTGCCACGTGGGTGCTGGGATTCGAACCTGTGTCTTCTGTAAGAACAACCAATGTTCTTAACTGCTGAGCCATCTCTCCTGCCCAATTCACTGATGCTTTAAAAACTTTTTTTATTCTTTGAGATTTCATACTTGGATACAATGTATTTAGATAATATTCTTCACTGATGCTTTAAAAACTTTTTATTCTTTGAGATTTCATACTTGGATACAATGTATTTAGATAATATTCACCCCCAACTCCTCATTTAACACCACCCATTAACTCCTCCCAGACCCACCTCCTCTCCCCTTCCTCTCCCTCATCTTACCACCTGGCCAAGCTTCAAGTCCTTTTTTAAAAAAATAACTCATTGAAAATGGGTGTGGTGGGGCACACCTTTAATCACAGTACTCAGGAGGCAGAAGCAGGCAGATCTCTGTGAGTTCAAGGCCAGCCTGGCCTACATAGTGAGTTCCAGGCCAGCTGGGGCTACAGGGAGACCCTGTCTCAAAAAGACCAGAAACAAAAACACAAGACCAAAAAAACCCTCATTGAGTCAAGTTGGGCAGCTAATATACTCATGAGTGTGGGGCCATCCACTGGAGTATGGTTGACCCAACTGGCCTCATCCTTAAAGAAAACTCACTCTTCCTCCCCTAGAAGCCATCCTCTATCAGTAGCTCTTCAGTTAGGGTTGGGGCTTGAAATTCATTGATTTTAATTGTCCAAACTGATGGGTTTCAAACAGTGTATACAGTTGTATAACTGCTGCTACCACAATCCTAGATTTCTGATTTCCCCCACATACCCTTCTGTGCCTTAGCAGCACTTTCCATTCCCATCTTGGTCTTTGGTATCCACTGACCTGCCATTTTTCATCCTAGTTGCCACAGGAAAACATTAAGTGTTTGTAGGATAGAGTCATGCATGTAACTTATAGTATTTTGAAATCTGGCATTATTTAGCATATGACTTTTGAGATTTCTCTTACAAGGTTTATCCATAGTTCTTATTTTAAAAAATTTATTTATTATTTTTATTTTATGTGTATGCATGTATTGCCTGCATATAGGTAAGTACACCTGCAATGTCCAAGGAGGACAGAAGAGGCTGTCAGAGACCATGGGACTGGAGTTACAAACAGTTGTTAGCTGCCATGTGGTGCTGGCTTTGAATCCAGGTCTTCTGCAAGAACAACCAGTGTTCTTACCCACTGAGCCGTCTCTCCCGCCCCTGTAGTTCTTTTTAAAATGAGAGGTGGTGTTCTGTTATATGGCTGTACCATAATTGGCTTATTCATTCAGTTGTTGATAATTACTGGGGCATTTCCATTTTAACTTTAAGGAAAGCTAATCTATCTGTGATCATAAAAGCTACTAAGAAAATATACTGCCATTGCTCTTGGCAACCATTCCAGCAGACTTGGGGAGAAACAAATAATTGAACATTGCATCACAGCCTGTTCGGGAGGTTGTCGTTCTCCATTCTTTAGAAACCTTATGATATATGGATAAGTTGAGTGTTTAAGACACTCTTTTATATTGTATACTAAAGTCTGAATTTGGATAATTTTCTGTGAAAGTAGGTTTTGTTATAAAGCCAGACTGCTACCTGTGAGCTTAGAATGCTAGATAATAGATAAATAAGAACAGTCTTATGATTTGGGGTTCACTTATAAACAAGCCCTGGAAAGCTGCCTTGCTCACACCCAGCCAATTCAAACTGACAGGTCAGACTTGTGTTCATTTCAGCATTTGTCTTGTTAAGCTCACAAAGTTCATGTTCTTATTGCTTCAGAAATGACTACACCTTCGAATATTTTTCACTTAATACTTCAGGTGTCTTTTTTTCCCCCAAGGTCCTTATGTTCACACTGTACTTGTATCATTTACATGCTCATCGATGCTGATGAATTCTCTTTCCAAAGGGTATATTTTACACATACTTGAGTCTGTCTGAAGACTTTCTGATGAGGATGTGTGGTTTTATGGAATGTTGTATACGTTGAATGGGCTAAACATGTTGCAATCTGCATGTGTTCAATGCACTTCTAAGTATATACATTACTTTTAACAGAGAATGGGCCTACACTTTCACAATATATTTTCCACTTAAAAATAGAAGCAAAAAATACGTTTTCCTTTTTGAGGTCTTTGGTTCCCCCAAAACTTCCATTATTGAAATCCTTTGCTTTCAGTAGAATAATAAACTAAATATAGTGTTTGAAAGCACTAACAGTCAGAGCATATTATTATAATGAGAGACATGGTTGAATCTCTTAGGCTTTTATTCTAAATTTGAAAGTTCCTTCAGTAAATATTGTTCTTAATGATTTCCTTCAAGTCAGCTCTCTTTGACTTTCATTTGTGTATTTTTTAATATTTTATTTATTTTTATTTTCTGTGTATGAGTGTATTGCCTGCGTGTATGTGAGTACACCCACGTCGTGCAATGCTGCAGAGGTTGGAAGAGGGCTTCAGATTCCCCTGGATCCAGGTTCAATTCCTAGTACCCACATTGCGGCTATTTATTAATTTTTTAATTCTATGGGTAGTGTTTTCTCCATATCAGGTGAAATCTAGCATGTGTTCCTGTAGTAGGCAACTTCTAGATCTCCATGGCTTAAACACAAGCTTAGCTTTCCACTCTTCAAGTGCTAATTGAAGGCTTTGTTCATCACTTAGATACTTGGGCTTTTGGAGCAACCAACCTAGTTGATGGTTCCTGCTAGAGAGAGACAGTTCTTAAGGGTTTTAGCTAGCAAGTGAATCCTCCAGTTTGAAATAACTTTTGTTCACAACCAGTGGAACATAGGCAAATACATGCCTCCAACTCAATTCTAAAGAGTCTAAACTCATCACAACCTGGAAAATAGGCACTGGACTTGAAATAAGTGATGAATATATGTCAATGACTGTGGTGCACCTCTTTGGTACATATTTAATGAATACCAGCATTTAACAATCTGATTTCCTTAGTGCCTCTGAGGGTAGTTAGGTGTTCAGCCTGTGTACTTGTAGGGAGACAAGCCACTGTCTTCTTCAACTCCAGCAGCATTTATTGAGATCTTGAAGAAAAGAATGATTTCAAATCATTGCTTGCAGTGTTTTTTTTTAATCAACAAATTTATTATTTTTATTTTATGTGTATGAGTGTACTGCCTGCATGTCTGTGAGCACACCCATGTCGTGCAGTCCGCAGAGGTCAGAAGAGGGCTTCGGATTCCCCTGGACCTGGAGTTAAGGATGGTTTGTAGCCACCCTGTGGGTGCTGGGACTCGAACCTGGGTCCTCTAAAGAGCAGTCAGTGCTCTTAACTGCTGAGCCATCTCTCCAGCCCTAGTTTGCTGTGTTTTAAATATGAGTGTTGATGCCTGAAAACAATCATTTTATTTGGTTTGAGTAAACTAATTTTTTGTTGTTGTTGCTGTTGTGTAGCCTTTTTCTTAGCAAGCTTTTTAAAAAGGGACATTTGGCATTTTATTAACTTTATTTGCGATGTCTCTGGAATTGTTCAAAACGTTGGTCAAATGTCTAGCTTTTACTGTAGTCCTCAGCATCTCAAGAAAAAATAACCTTTGGTGTAGTAACATACTATCTATCTTAGATAATATGTAATAGGTAACATAGATAATACAAGCTATATATTATTTATAATATGATATACAATATATACATATAATTAGAAAATAAGGAATATGGATACTAACATATCTTGGTCTGGGTGGGACTGTTTCTCAGTTATTCTCTGATTTGAATCAGTTGTATCACATGCAGGTAGTTATGTGCTATGAAGTTAACAGCATGTCAGATCCTTTTATCCATTTGATACCACTAGGAATTTACAGCTTATAGTATACCAAGTTGAAGGTGTTTATTATTATTATTTATTTATTATTATTAAGGTGTTTATTGCCAGCCTTTCTAGCACATTAACTACATTGGACCTTTAAAGGTACTGATGAGGGGTACCGATACTTA